TATATATATATATAAATTTTTTTAAAAAAGAAGTTAAGGATTATAAAAGCTAATTTTCAGTTTCTTATAATTATGAATTTATTATAAAAATTTATAAGTACTTTAATAATGATTTTGTAGAAAAAAGTTCTATTGAAAATTTTTTGAACTGAAACAAATTATATGTTACTCAGTATATCGTTTTCTGCAACAATATTAACTAATAATCATTGAAAATGAATTTATTTTCATAGTTTTACAAGTACGAGAAAAATAAAGTTGTGTTCTGTTGGTGATATTTTCGCTGAAAGCAAATTTTGAAAAAGCATGTAATTTAGTATTTGGTTTATTTTCTTAAGGTTTACATATGAACGTTTTGGATACATGTACTCAAAGTCGGAAGCATGTTAGAAGATGAAAAATAATCGTGAGAATAACAAATAAAAAAATATATATATACAAACAATATAGATAGAAAATCCTAAATTCTAAATCCTAAAATTTGAATATATGTTGGTGTAGAACAAGAAAATAGTGGTGTACGCCTCAAGGGAATTAAAGGTTAAGGAATTATCCCTTTCATGATTAGGAGCTAATGGTTATGATGTTTGTCTTGAAGATTTGGAGTTATTATTTGTATGAGGCCAAATTTAGTATTTTTAGTGATCATAAGAGTTTGAAATATTTATTTAATCAAAAGGAGTTGAACGTGAGACAAAGGAGGTTGATGGAGTTTCTGAAGGGATTATAACTTCTAGTTGATGTATCAACTTGGAAAGGTTAATGTGGTGGCAAATACCTAGAGTAGGAAATCTAACCACATATTCTTTTTGATGGTCAAGGAGTTGGAGCTGGTTGAGAAATTCAAAGATTTGAATCTTTGTGTGGAGTTGACTCGAGATAACATTAGTTGTAGGTTAACTGTGAGACCCATGATGTTTGTTTTCTTTCTTCCCCTGGACCCTCACCCCACTCTCACTTGCACTCTCTTTTGGGTACTTAGTGGTTGATATATAATTTTTTTTTCTTTCTTTTATTCTCTCAAGCTCTCAATCTCATCTCTCACGCACTCTTTCTCTCAAAACCTTTACTTCTCTTTTTCCCATTTTTTTCACTTGCGGAACTCCTCCTGGTGGCTGTGGTGTTTAGGTGATGATGTTGGTGTGGGAAATTAGCTGAAGATCTCCTTCTCCATTGGTCTCCTTCTGCTTCCAATCTTCTTCCCATTTCTTCTTCCTAGAGTTTAGATTTTTATACCAAGGTAAGGGAAGTTAGTTGTTTGTGATGGATTGTTTAGAAATGAGCTAAAAACTCACTTGATGACTGATTATTGTGGATTGATGGTGATGTTTGATGAAATTCCATTTTATGGGGTTTGATGAAAATTTGGGGATTTTGATGATTGATGCATGTATGTTGTAATTGTTGATGTTTTTGAGTTGTAGGTGGTTGGTAGATCATGTTTTGGGGGTAAACATTGATGGATTATAGTTGGAAAATGTAAAGGGAAGCCATGGAAGTGTAGAACCTCTACACTTGGTGCTGAAACACTAAAGGGAGTCATAATCTGGATGAGAAATTAAGATGACCGAGTCTTGAAGCTGCAGCTCTGAGTTGGGCGCTGCAGCCCTGGGAGAAATTAAATTTGGCAGAGAGTTTGAGCTGCAGCCCCAAGTTGGGCGCTACAGCCCCAGGAAGCCCAGGAGAAAAATGAGCTGGCAGAGAGTTACAGCTAAAGCGCTGGATTGAGCGCTGCAGCGGTGGGCCTAGATGACCGAATTTGGTCTTGAGGTCTTCATGAAAGTTGTAGCCCTGGATGTTAGCTTTCCAATGGCGTTGGAATCACCCAAAAAGGAGGTCTAGAACTCTAGATATGACAGTTTTAGTGAAGAGAGGTCAGGCTGCCAGCATTGGTTATAGCTGTTTCGGTTTTTATAATTTTTCACAAGGTAGATGAAATAATTTGGACTCGGTGTCTTCATGAGAGTTGTAGAACATCTTCTTATCTTTCATATGAGATAAGGATGATTATGATAGGAGTGCTATAACGCTATATATGTCTGTTTTAGTGAAGAGGGGTCAAGCTGCCAGTATTCCTTATAGCTGTTGCGGTTTTTATCAATTTTAACATGGTAGATGAAGGAATTAGGATTTGGTGTCTTCATAAGAGTTATAGGAAATCTTCTTATCTTTAATATGAGATAAGGATGAGCCTGATAGGAGCATTATAACTCCAGATATTCTATGATTAGTAATGGTTGTCACTTTACAATGAGTGATTAAGATATGTTGAAGGTTGTTTTGGATGTGTTATTTCATGAATATGTTGACTAATATTGATTAATGTTGTTGAGACGAGTTGAGTTGTATTAGTGGTACATTGTTGTAAGTTGCTATGTTGAGCTGTACGGTTGTGTTGTGCTGTGTGTTAATATTGGTGGTTGTAGGTCGTAAGGCTGACAAGGCTGAGTTGTTGTAGGCCGCAAGGCTGAGTTGTTGTAGGCCGAAAGGCTGAGTTGTTGTACGCCGCAAGGCTGAGTTGTTGTAGGTCGAAAGGCTGAGTTGTTGTATGAGATCTCCGAGTTGATATGCATGACGACGCATTACATGAATATTGATGACCAAGTTGAAAAATCAATGGGATGTATGTTGATGAAGTGTTGATAGTTGTGGTTATTTATATTTCTTAAATTTTCTATATGTTATTTCTTTTATACTAGCTTACCCTTTTGTTGTTTCCATGTGGTTGGACTGCAATGATCATACTATGTATGGGAGCAGAGCAGGGATAGGTGGTGTATCTGTAGCTGGAAGGTGGAGCTGAATCCTTTCGGATGCTTTGTTTGTTTTCAGTCACTTGGTATAGTGACTTTTGATGAAATGTTTGTATTGTACGCCCTAACTCTAGTTGGATTGGAACATTCGTATATATTTATATTCTAGATCCTATATTTATATACTCGTTCTATTCTACCTAGTGTTTCCGGTGTGCTGCGATTGTGAGTGTAGTGACCTATCGGGTCGTTACACTTTAATGGTATCAGAGCAGTTCGAGTCTAGTGGACACTCTTTGGGGGTGGTTCCCTTAGGCTTTTGTTGTGCTGAGCTCTGTGTTATGTTGTCTTGTTGTGCTGTCTTGTTGTGTTGTTTATGCGCTGATTGCTATGTTATTTTGTTGTGCTGCTGATGGTAGTTTGGTTTAGTTATTGTATACTGAAGATGTTGTTACTTCTGTAGACAATGACTATAACCAATGAGTTGATAGCCCGTACCATAGAGATAATGGTTATGGCTATGCAGCAAAATTTTTATTTTGCTAGGATGAACGCTGATAGAGCTGCAACTGGTGCAGCAAGGCCCTTGGGGTCGTAGGAGAGCCGGGATCTAGCTGAGTTTCGAAAGTGCCATCCTCCTTAGTTCAAGGGAGATGCAGACCCAGAGGTAGCTGACCACTAGATATGTGAGATGGAGAAGATCTTCACTGTGCAGGGATGTTCTCGAGAGAGGAGATTGGCATATGCTGTCTACATGCTGGTTGGGGAGGCTGAGCATTGGTGGAGGGGTACAAGGTGAACTTGATCTGTTTACCTTGGGTAGATATTGACATAGTCTTAGGAATGGATTGGTTGTTTGCCAGTCGCATCCTTAAAGATTGTGCCAATAGGCGGTTGATCTTTCCTCAAGTGGAGGAGGAGCTATTGATTTCAGCTGGTCAAGCTGAATCATTATTGAGGGATGGAGCAGAGTGTTGTCTTCTGCTTGCTGCCATAAGAGTGGAGATTGAGAGGGTCATTACTGAGATTGATGTGGTGAAGGATTTTGTTGAGGTGTTCCCAGATGAGGTGCCTGGGTTGCCTCCTATTAGGGAGATGGAGTTTAGCATTGACTTGGTTTCAGGTGCGGGACCAGTGTTGGTGGCTCCCTATAGGATGGCCCCCGCTGAGCTAGTTGACCTGAAAGTTCAGTTGGAGGATCAGTTAAAGAAGCAGTTGGTGTGACCGAGTGTACCGCTGTGGGGTGCTCCCGAGTTATTGGTGAAGAAGAAAGATGGAGGTAGTCGATTGTGTGATGATTTCTGGCAGTGGAACAAGTTGACCATCAAGAACAAATATCCTTTGCCCCGGATAGATGACTTGATGGATCAGCTGAGGGGAGCATCAGTGTTTTCTAAGATTGATTTGAGATCGGGCTATCACCAAATTAGGGTGAAGGAGGATGACATACCGAAGACTGCTTTCAGGACTAGGTATGGTCACTATGAGTATGTCGTGATGCCGTTTGGTGTGACCAATGCCCCCGCAGTGTTTATGGATTACATGAACAGGATCTTCCGGCCATTCTTGGATAAATTCGTGGTGGTGTTCATTGATGATATCTTGATCTATTCAAGAACTCGGGAAGAGCATGGGGAGCACTTGAAGGTGGTGTTAGAGATTTTGAAGGAAAAGCAGTTGTATGCTAAGCTTTCAAAATGTGAGTTCTGGTTAAATGAAGTAAAACTCTTGGGCCATGTGATTTTGGCTGAGGGAATTACTGTTGATCCAGCTAAGGTGGAGTCGATGATACAGTGGGAGCGTCTGAGAACTGTCACTGACATTCGGAGCTTTGTGGGTTTAGCGGGTTACTATCGACGGTTCATTGAAGGATTATTTGAAAGAGACGGTGGCAAGGCCAACCAATAAGTAACCGGACCCACACGATGTATGATCTAATAGGGACCAACAAACCTCAGTGTCAACTTCCTTGCCTTCAGCGCTCTACCCACACCAGAAGTCGGGGTCACCTTCAGAAACACATGTTCCCCTTCAGCAAACTCCAAAGGCTTACACATTTTATCAGCATACGATTTCTGCCTACTCTGAGCAGTCTTCATCCTCTTCTAAATCAGCTTCACCTTCTCAATAGTCTGTAGGATCATTTCTGGTCCCACAACCACTGACTCACCATCTTGGTACCAGCACAGAGGAGTCCTACATCTCCTGCCATATAAGGCTTCAAACGGCGCCATCTCAATACTAGCATGAAAGCTATTATTGTAAGTAAATTCCACCAGCGGTAAGACCTCCTCCCAGCTTCCCAAGTGGTCTAACACACAAGCCCTCAGCAAATCCTCCAAGGACTGGATTGTCCTCTCTGACTAACCATCCGTTTGCAGCCCTCTGGTGGTCATGCGCCCGGCGCGAAGAACTGCGCCCAGCGTGATACCCAGCAGCAACCCTCAAACTTCGAAAATTTCTCCAATACTTGCACCAAATCAGCTTCCCAAACACATGCAATTGGCCCAAAACGTCACATTTTCATCAAACAACCCAAAAATCCCAGCTTTTCCCACATGCAACCACAATCAAGAAAAACCCCAAGATTTTCATCAACCCCGGAAAACCCGAAAACGAAATTTCTTCTAACTCAGCCAAAGATCATCAAACGTTAGACCACAAATGAGTTTCTAAACTCATTTTCCACATAATACAGCCAAGAACTAGCTTCCCTTACCTCGGTTAAACGACTCCGAGCTCCGGGAAGAGACAAAGAAGAAGAAAGCTTGGAAATGATGGTGAGCGGAGAAGGAAGAAGGAAATCCGAGCGTCCGCAAGCTTCTCAAAACCTACTCAGCACCTATGCTCACCACAACCACCACCAAGAAGAAGAAATCAACAACAAGGAGAAGGAGAGAGTGGGAGTTGGGTTTTGGGGAAAAAAGGAAAAATGAGGGTCTCACAACCTCCCCAACAACAGGAGTTTTCGTCCCCGAAAACAGACTTACTTGGGAAATGAAACAGATACCGCTCCCTGCACTGTTGCTCAACCTCTCAAGTAGCTGCATCCCACATCACCTTCACCAGAGCAATGGACTTGCCCCTCAACTCCTTCAGCTTATGATCAACCACAGTTACTGGAAACTTCTCAAAAGTCAGATTCTCCTTCACTCGCACATCATCTAGCTCTACCACATGACTAGGGCCATGAACATACTTCCTCAGCTGGGATACATGAAATACATCGTGTAGGTTTGAAAGAGACGGTGGCAAGGCCAACCAATAAGTAACCGGACCCACACGATGTATGATCTAATAGGGACCAACAAACCTCAGTGTCAACTTCCTTGCCTTCAGCGCTCTACCCACACCAGAAGTCGGGGTCACCTTCAGAAACACATGTTCCCCTTCAGCAAACTCCAAAGGCTTACACATTTTATCAGCATACGATTTCTGCCTACTCTGAGCAGTCTTCATCCTCTTCTAAATCAGCTTCACCTTCTCAATAGTCTGTAGGATCATTTCTGGTCCCACACATAATACAGCGTGTGGGTCCGGTTGCTTATCGGTTGGCTCTACCGCCGTCTCTCTCAAATTTGCATGATGTGTTTCATGTCTCCCAGTTGAAGAAGTACGTCCATGACCCGAGTCATGTGGTGGAGTTAGATGATGTACAGCTGAAGGAGAACCTGACCTTTGAGAAGCTACCAGTAGCTGTGATTGATCATAAGTTGAAAGAGTTAAGGGGCAAGTCTATTGCTCTGGTGAAGGTGTTGTGGGATGCAGCTACTAGTGAGGCTACTTGGGAGGTGGAGCAGCAGTGTAGGGAGCAATATCCGTCTCTTTTCCTTCTTCTAAATCAGCTTCACCTTCTCAATAGTCTGTAGGATCATTTCTGGTCCCACAACCACTGACTCACCATCTTGGTACCAGCACAGAGGAGTCCTACATCTCCTGCCATATAAGGCTTCAAACGGCGCCATCTCAATACTAGCATGAAAGCTATTATTGTAAGTAAATTCCACCAGCGGTAAGACCTCCTCCCAGCTTCCCAAGTGGTCTAACACACAAGCCCTCAGCAAATCCTCCAAGGACTGGATTGTCCTCTCTGACTAACCATCCGTTTGCGGATGATAAGCAGAACTCAGCTTCAGCTTCGTGCCTAAGGCTTGATGTAGACTCTGCCAAAATCTGGAAATGAACCTCGGACCTCTGTCTGAAATAATATTGGAAGGCACCCCGTGCAACCGTACTATTTCCCTCACATACAACTGCGTCAGCTTCTCCAAGGACCACTTGATGTTGACAGGCAAGAAATGTGCACACTTGGTCAACCGATCAACTATCACCCAGATACCATCATTATTCCTAGTCGACCTAGGCAACCCTACGATGAAGTCCATAGTGATACTATCCCGCTTCCATTCTGGAATCTCCATCTACTGCATCAACCCACTCGACTTCTGATGCTCCACCTTCGCCTTCTGAAAGGTCAGACAGGCCGCCACATATTCAGCTATCTCCCTCTTCATACTAGATCACTAGAAAGTCTTCTTGAGGTCTTGGTACATCTTAGTCATACCAGGATGTATGCTAAGTCTGCTCTTGTGGCCTTCCTCTAACACAGCTCTCTTCAACTCAACATCCTAGGGTAGGCAAATTCTGCCCTTGAACCTCAAGATTCCATCTCTGCCCAGCTCAAAGCCAACAGCCTTCTCAGTTCCCAGCAAACCAAGAAGCTTCACTAGCTCAACATCTTGCTACTGCTTAATTCCAACCTGCCTCAAGAACTCACTAGTTATGGTAATCATCCCACAACTAATGTGATCATGAGCTAACTCCACACAAAGATTCAAATCTCTGAACTTCTCCACCAGCTCCAGCTTTTTCGCCATCATACTAGACATGTGGATGGATTTCCTACTCAGCGCATCTGTGTTATTAAGTGGCTCTTTGTAGCTCACCTTCCTTGATAGTGAAATTTGTATACTTAGATCTCTAAGTGTCTAGTTTTGTTCCACCAAAAAAAAAAATCAAATTTCTTTTGCATTGCATATAAAAGGTTCTTGAAAATTTAACCATAAGTAAACATTCTTAAGTGGTAGTGACTCAAGTTCTCCAAAAAGTATTTCTCATCTTGCTCAAGAGCTTAAGGCACTAAAACTATGGAATAAACAAGAGGTATTTGCTAAAGAAAAATAAAGAATTGAAAGAGAAGCAC